GACTAATATTCACAAAATCTGAAAGGGATGGAATGGGTTCTAACATCAAAAATGAAGAGAGGTAAGAGATCTCATATGGTTGTTAGTGATAAATGGGAGTAGCCGGCCATAGAGACTGACAATGATGGGTGGCCGGTGGCGGTGGCTAGCTTTTGAGGGAGATATCAAAATTCCTCGATTGATATCTCCCAAAATTGGGAGATACCATAAATTCATAACACCCCTATTTGGGAGGGTTATGATATCAAGATGTCAAATCCAAAACCGTATTTAGGCTTCTAAAACACCCAAAAATGGATTCTAAACCCAGAATGTCAGAACCCAAAAATGGATTCTAAACTTGGGAGATATCAGAACTCATATCTCATGCACTCACCTAATGGAACCTATCAACCTAATACATTTTTGAGCAAAAAGAATGTGTCAGTACCTCAGTGCTAGTTTCGTCAAGCATTTTATAGATGGGTTGTATGGTACAGGGAGAGCGTTGGGCTGTGAAGAACACAAACATGCAGAAGATTTGTGTGACAGATTGAAGAATCCTGAGGTAAATATAGTACGTGGATAGATAGAATTGAGAACGAGGATATCTGGACAAGGGGGAGTAGCATCTGTGAGAATGGGATGGGAAAAGATAGATTGAGACGGACACGTGCAAATGATGAGTATCGTAAAGAAGTGTGTGACGCTAGAGATAGAGAATTTGAAGAAGTGTGTAGGTACTAAAATGGAGTTGAAACGAGGTGTTAAGACAAGACTTGCGGATTTAGAAGCTCAACAAGGATATGACCTTATATATGAGCACTTAGAAATTGAAGATTAAAGTGGTAGGGTAGGCATAAACAAGATTGGAGTGGTTCATCGTGTGAAAATTTAAGATGCACATAAAGAAAAAGTTACTCAGAAGGAAATGGATGCACAAATTTGTGCTTAAATTAGCATATTGTTGTTGAAGGAATATTAAAAGACAGAAAGAGAAAAAAGAACCTGGAAGTTCCAAAAGTGAGAACCAATGAAGTTTGCAAAACTTCCGGCTTGGATTGTCACAAGCTCCCTCATGTTCTTCAAAAGGGAAGAAAATGGTGATTCGGAGAGAGCTCAGCTCAAACCCGGCAATAACAAACTGAAACAAGAAGAAGCCGTTGTGGGATAGGGAAATCAGTACTTACTAAATAGAGAATGTGCCACATGTATTTCCAAAATAAAAGTTCTTGGGAAAATTGAATAATAATAATAAGTGCTTCACTAGAATCATAACTCATTTTATATGATTTGTTCATACATTCAGACATTTCGTCAAATGATTGGAAGACATTTCTGTTTAACATAGGACACCCTTCAATGAAATTCGAAACCAAAACTTAGAAAGACAAGACAAAATTGTAAACAACAAGCAATTTAAGCTAAAAAAAAATGAATTTAATTACTCCTGTCCCAAAATAAACAGCAAAATGTTCTTTTTGGTCCACCAAAGTCAAAATCTGCCATCATACATTCACCAACAACACTAGTAATGCTGATAATGATAAAAATAGTAATAGTAATGCTAAGCTTAACCAGTTGAGAGAGAAGAAATAGAGGCGAAAATTGGGGTTGAGCGGCAGCAAACCGGCGACGGCGAAGAGAGGGACGGCAACAACGGGCGTATCGAAAGAGAAAGAAGAAAAACCCTGGTCAAAGTCAAATTCCCCATTGCCCGGTTCAAGACGGTTCAACTAGAGGTGGCAATCGGATCAACCGGATCGGTTCCAGATTGAACTTTTTCGGTTCGGATATCTTTCGGTTATATGTTATAATCGGTTCGGTTCGGATCGGATCGATTAAATTTCGGATCGGATTTGATTTCGGTTCTATACAGTTTTCGGTTCGATTCGGTTTTGAGTCGGTTCAGATACGGTTCGGTTATAAATCGGTTCGGATAGATATTGATTCGGATACAATTTGAGTCGGATATATTTCGGTTTTGGGTCTAGTCCGGTTCGGATATATTTCGGTTTCGAATATATTCGATCGAGTGGACTTCAAATTATGAAAAAAATATATTTTATGATGATATAAATTTAATATCATAATATTAATTTTAAAATTTAGTTTTGATATATTAAAATTTTATCACTTCAAATAATATTATGAGTAATTTACCTAAATAGAGCTAAAACACAATGGTTTTCCAAATATAGGACCATATATTTTTATTTCCAATGTAGGACTTTTAGTCATTATTAATTAGTCATTATTTAAGTAAATGTCCATTATTAATTTATTACTGGGCATTATTCCTCCCACTAAGACATTATAAAATTCTCTATAAGGAATAAAAAAGTTTAAGTCCTAGACTATGAAAGTAATTATGTTTTAGTATTATTTAGTGCAAATTTATTAATATCATTAGTTTTATCTTTATAAATGAGTCGAAGCAACTAGTTTTTATCTCGTGCTTTGCACTGACTCGCATACTTTTTTTTATAAGTATAACTATTTAAAAATGGTACTCCGTATTATATTTAAAAAATAAAACTCACGTTAAATAAATAAGAGAATAACTCTTTAAGTAATCCAATTACAATGTCTATAATTGATGGAATACATAAATATTATACATGTATGTGCATATAAAAGATAATACATTAACTCTTCTTAAATAACTTTGTTAGACATTTCATTTTTTGTACATATCGTGGTATGCGAGGGAATGATGTATTTATTAATTTCTTCTATGAATCTTATTATTCTACACTTTATTTGACTAATTATATTTATAATTTTGATAGAAAATATATTTTTAGTTTTTAAGGAAAAGTTTTACTTTTATGTTTTATTTTACCATCTTTGATAATTAAAATTTATTTGTATTTATTATAATTTTTTAATTATAAAATTACATGCATTATAAGTTTTTTTTAAAAAATTTGGATATGATAACTTATTGTAGCCAGACTATTACTCCCTCCGTCTCTAAATAAACTTTTATTTTTGACTTTTTGAAAATTTAAGGAAGGAATATTTTGTGTTGACTTTCAAAAAATACCCTTGATATGATGTGTAAATGTAAGATGTGATAGATAGATTATTAGTAAAAAGATATGATGTGATAGGTATGATATAAAAAAGTAAGGGGTATAAGGGGTTTTTTAAAAGAAAAGAAAAGTTTATTTGGGAAAAAAGAAAAAACGAAAAAAGAAATTTATTTAGGGACAGAGAAAGTATTAAATATGTTATTTTTTTAAAAAAAATGTATTCCGGACGGAGGAAGTAAAAAAATAAGAAGTACTCCCTCCGTCCCACTGTCTTTGTCCACTTACCTTTTGGCACACCACCATCCAATGCACTTCTTTAAGCCATTTTATCTTGTAATTTGTATATTAAAAAATTATAAAAATTATATATTAATAATCTATATGTTAAGACGAATCAAACAAGATCACACATGACTATTTTTAGGCTTACACATTGAGAGAATTTGATGAGTCAAAGTGCTTAGATGAACAGTTCCAAAAGTCAAAAGTGGACAAAGACAATGAGACGGAGGTAGTATAAGAATATAAAATGAATTTAAAGAACTTACAATTATTACTCCGTACTAATTTTTAAACAAAGTATCCAATCAAAAAATTTTTTTTAGATCTAATCTCTCCCCTAAAACTCAAATTTTCCCCCCCATTTTTTTCACTTTCCCTCCATTCATTTTTTTCCCATTAGAAAATAATTTTTCTTAACCCACCCATCTACCACAACTCCATAAGTCCACTACACATTTACATTTCCCAATTTCAGATTAATCTTCCTTTTAACCGATGCACTGTAAACTCCACTTCTTCGACCGCGACGATCAACTATAAACGGAAGATTGTCCGGAGCACCTCTACAGCATCCACTCTAAAAGATGGCATCCACCCATGGTTAGTTCAATTGAAATTGGATTCAGTTGATGAACAATACGAATAAATTTGCATCATACTTTGCATGCTTAGTAATTTATAAACCTGCAACCAGGGCCGGCCCAGAAAAAGTAAAAAATAAAATTAGCCCGGTCCAAAATTTACATTTTGTGTCATATTTTATATTTTTAAAATACTTTTGTTTTAAAATTATTAAGAAATTTAAAAATATGGTGCCCTAAATTTTAAGGGGCCCTGTGCGATTGGCCACTTTGCACACCCTCCGGACCACTCATGCCTGCAACCCTTTGGATAGCGCAGATCATTTTCCCAAGTCCATTAATCATCCTCAATTAGATAGCGTAGATCCTTCATAAACCTGGAACCCTTTATGCTTATTGCTTATTGCTTTTAGCTATACGTATGAATGTTTTTGCATATTTTATTTGGGTGAATTTCATAGATATGACATCAAGCAATCCAAGTATGAACGTAGTTCTTTTAATTATGTAATTTTATTTTTAAATTTTATGTAAATATTAAAACAAAATTTATTTGAAAACAATTTTAGTAAAAAAATTGTAAATCCTGAACTAAAATTTATTTATGGAGAAAAGGAATATCATTGTTATTCAAATATAACATTATACTCTGTATATATATGGGCATAAAAAAATATGGGTTTCCATAGATCAAAATATTGTTTTATATGGGAGAAAGACCAAAGTAGGACTAAAACATTGAAAATATACCAAAATAGGACTTCCATCTTTTTATTTCTGAAATAGGACTTACATTACCAAACATTGCCATATACATTACCAAAAAAAGTTTAATAATGTGCACATGTACACTGCCACATTACCACAATGCAAAGTCACATTACCACGGTGCAAAGTCCTATTTCGGGGAAAAAAAACATGAAAGTCCTATTTTGATACTTTTCTCTATGTTTTAGTCCTATTTAGGATGATTTCTATTATAAACTATGATGCTCATCTTGGTCTATAATCTTTTTTGTAAATTCTAATCCGCTTCTAAGATTCAAAATCAAATTTCTTTATGACTTGTTCGAATACACTTCTAAGATTCACATTATGTCCACTTTTATTTTTACACATCATCCAATACACTTCTTTAATCCATTTTATCTTGTAATTTGTATATTAAAAAATTATAGAAATTATATATTAATAATCTATATGTTAAGACAAATCAAACAAGATCACACATGACTATATTTAGGCTTACACATTGAGAGAATTTGATGAGTCAAAGTGCTTAGATGAACAATTCCAAAAGTCAAAACTGGACGAATACTCCGGAACGGAGGGAGTAGAATAGATTTTTTTTATCCTAGAAAACTATAATTGAAAAGCTTTAAATTGAAGCAATTTGAGAACAAGTTTTTATAATATTACCGAGTAATATTTCCCATACAATATACGGAGTAACTACTCTTAGCCCGAGAGATCAAGTTTCTTCTAGGTTTATTGCCAGAGTTTTTTTTTTTTTTTTTACATACTCACTTCTTCCCAAAATAAAAGTATTTATGAGGTTGTAACCTCATAAAATTTAAGAAAAAAGTCTTAAATAAAAAGTGTAAAACTAAAATTCATTCAGGAGAAAAATATATTCTAAGACACATCTTTCTTTAACAACAAAAAATAAAGTACAAATTTTTTTTAACAATCTAAAAAAGAACGTGTTACTCTTATTTCGTGACGTGAAGAACATAACTCGAGTTCAATTTTGTTGCCATTAAAAATTATGCAAAAATATTGCAATAACTTATGCAGAAAAGCAAGTGCACATAATGTGATCTCATCTTCTCTTAAGTGTGCAACAAGATAAAAAGAATCAATGTAATAAACATATATATTATCATGCCTTACTTCCAAATTATTCACCAACAAATTACAATTGCTCTATACAAACGGCACCTTGAGCTGTATCAATTACCTCATTAGCACAAGATCTCCCCTCCCCCCACCCCACCCCAAGCGAGAGAGCGGGGTGGGGGGGTAAATAACTGATTTGAAGGGGGCAAATGTAAAAAAACAGAAGCAGCTCAAAAGGTTCCAAGTTTTTCTATTGGCCCGACGTTAAGTAGGGAAATTCTGTGGTGTGGTACAAGATGATGCAAAGGGATGGAGGGAGTAAGAATAGGAAAAGATGATTTTTGAAAGATCAGAAAAGTATTGTCTTCAAAATTAAAAGAACTAGCATTACAAAGCACATGATGACTAGCACCGTGGCACACATGACCATCCCGCCCTTCTTCTGTGTTCTCTCGGCCTGCACCCAAATTCACCCCAACACAAATGTTCATTTAAGGCCCCGTTTGGTACACGAAATTCAAATTGTGGAATTGGAATTGAGGACTTCAATTCCAATTCTGGTGTTTGGTAGTACAAAAATTATGTGAATTTGGAATTGGTAGTGCAAAAACTGAATTGGAATTGATGAATTCAATTCTATGGAACTGAATCCCATGAAATTTTAATTCCAATTCCATCAGTTCCATATACCAATCGGATCCTAAGTGACTAAAAATCTAAAATGAGAAAAAAAAATGCATTTCAAAAATGTGTTCCGAGTTGTGCCTACTTGTGAGCTTCAATTATTGAAAAGGCAAAGAAGGGAGAAGAAGGAAAGACCTTTTGCAACTGTTTGAGACCGTCCTCAACTGTCGCAGCAACATTTTGAACGTTATGATCTATCCTATCCACGATAGAACCCTGTGCATAGAAAAACAGGTTTGGTCATGACAAATTCCCAGAGGCTTCCATTCTTCTACTGAATAATGACAAATTCGGCATATCCTTTAACTACTGACCTGGTCAATCACCAGAACTGACAAGTCCTTCATAATTTGCGCAAGTTCATTCACTGATTCGACAACCTATCATATCATAGAAATATGTATGTACATATATATATAACTCATTACTGGAAACAGTATTAGCAATAGATGCAAGGTACTTCGAAGATTACCTGCTGTATTTCTCTTTCCCTCTCTGCTGTGAATGCCTCGCTTTTCTTTAATTTTGACATTTGATGCTCATTAAATCCCTAAGAACATTTGCAGAAAGTAGTTCAGGTTTTGGGAAATAAGCACTAGATAAAAGACGCATATATCAGATAAGACTGTTATAAAAGACATCAGAAATAGATGTACATACATATTCATCCAAATCATCACTCCCCCTTGTAGAGTGACTTTCATTTAAGTTCATTTCCAGGTCAACACCGTCTGGAGACTGCATGAAATGAAAATGCATAAGGAAAAGCTTGTAATTCTATAAAAGAGATTAGCCATGTTACTAGATCACACATGCAAGTCGCTGAACATGAGAGAGCAGGCTGGTAATCTTGAACCATGTTACAGACCAAACGGAAGAACTCAACCCAAAAGACTAGTCTCATAGGTGAGGGAACCCATTTGGCCTATAAACCCCACATCAATTGCCCATACAACCGATGTGGGACAAGTCCCATACCTTGCAATGGTTTCAGTCCATAACATTCGCCCCTCCTTAAGGACCAACGTCCTCATTGGTCACGGCCACGTTGGTCACGGCTGGCTCTCTCCAGGCCACCACTCCATGGGCCACCACTCCGAGGTTGGCTCTGATACCACTGTTACAGACCAAACGGAAGAACTCAACCCAAAAGACTAGTCTGATAGGTGAGGGAACCCATTTGGCCTATAAACCCCACATCTATTGCCCATACAACCGATGTGGGACAAGTCCCATACCTTGCAATGGTTTCAGTCCATAACAAACAACCAATTCCAGCCTTGATATATTGTGGATGTCAAATCACTCAAACCCAAATCTCATTTGAACTATTTATTAACATCCCTAACATGATAGGAGACATCACCTCTTTTTGTTGGCGTAGTTGTTTCAAATAAGTCGACTGTTTTTTCCGAAATTCCATTGAAAGGTTTTGAAGATCTGTCGCGAGAGAACGCTGCCATAGAGTAAACATGGTGTAAGGAAATATACAAAAGGGTAAATATTAGTAATTTTACGTGCATGCAAGCTTATCTGTGTGGACTTGTGAATCAGATGACACTTCTGAGAGTTCCATAAAGTGGGGATGAAACTTAAGAATATTTAGTATATTAAAAAAGAGAGATTTAAACCAGAACAAAATTTGTTTCCAATGGTTTTGATTAGAGATGATTATTTGGTTTTATAAAACCTACAGGCCCGCTAATAACCTAAGAAGCTAATAAGTTCATCTATGAATACATTATGTTCTATTTGCAACACCAAGAGTCATTCGTGGCAGGATGCTTCTTTAGCTTACCTTCGAAATGATGGCAAATTGGCAAGTATAGTCCATAATTACAAGTAAAAAGTTCAAATTCATTCAGGATAGTAACCGAAAATTATATTTGACTGTGCATCCCAACAACCACAAAGCAGACCTAGGTGCAATGTGGTTGATAACGTACTACCACTATTTCCTTAGGCTATGGCATATAGATTAATCAACCAAATTTGCAAGGGTAGAGAGTACAAAGTAAATAATTGACTATTTAGTACTACTCTGTGTATGGTTTATAAACAAAACATTATTGTTGACTGACTTGACAATTGACATCATACAATGCACTTGATAAAATATAGAGTATATTTTTTTGAAATGTGCACTTGATAAAATATGATTTGAGTTTTGCCTCACAAAAGATGTGATAAGCTCTAACACTATAAGGTATATTGATAATATTTTTTAAAAATTGATACTCCGTAAAAAGTAGGGGATTTAGCGCATTATGATTTTTGTTGCAAGCACAAAATCACAGAAAATGTTATTTGATGATAATCAATGACAAACCTGCACATTTTTTCGAACATTAGAGTCCTCGGAGGGCCCTGCTTTAGATAATCTGTGTAACCTTTTTTCTGATGTCTTCAACAGATCAGTTATTTGATGAGTAAGACCCTCAATCCGACGCTGATCCTCTTTACCATCTCCAAATGATGGCATTAAAGCCTTCGCATGAGCCTTTGCAAGCTCGGCCATTTTTGTTCTCACTTGTTGCACATTAGCTGCTATTTCTTCAGATACATCCACCCACGCAGGTGGTAGACCTACCGTAACCAGGCCACTACTGCAGCAGAACAAAACATTGGATACTAAACAGCTTTTACCATTCACTACATCAACATAGACTGAGCACAATAGGGGTACGGAAATCTCTATCTAGTTTGTACTCAGTATTAAACTATCACTGTAATAACATGTGTTTTCACAAATCAATGCTGGACTGTAAGGTAAAATCTGTTAAACAAGTTGGATTTAATAGTTGTTCATAAGAAAAATTTCAAAAAAATTGCATTGCTATTCACCCTTGAAATAAGTATAACTCAAAGCTTTTCATTTACGTCAAAGACTGTGAAAGATCTTCCTTTGCAGGTTAAAAATAGTAATAACTAATAAGAGGTGAGAGAGTAGGAAGCATTGATAGAAAATATTCTTCTTTATAAGATTAACATCACAAACTTACTGCACCCTGATAGGTTACTTCATAAAGATTTCCACAATTCAACACTGATGATTTTAAAGGCACAAAATACAAATTTTTGTCAACATACTTAGTGGTAAACTATTCATGCAATATTTATGCTGTTATAGCATCTCATTTTATCTTTCAGATTTTTCTTCGAAGTTCCTTTTGAGAAGAAAATCAAGAGCCATAATTGTCTGAACAATGGAAATGGATATTCACCTCTTACCTACTTTCAAGAAATGGATTAACAATGTCATCAAAGTACCTATTTTGGCCAGCATGTCATAGAGAACAGACTTCATGTGGTCTTCAAATTCATTTTCATTACAAGAAATACATGTTGGGCAATTTATAGAGATATCATCATCATTTCCTTCAACTTAATCTCAACTAGTGTGGGATTAAAGACGAAAAAAGTTTAAAATGTTTAGGTATGTATTCAAGCTTTATATGAGTACAATAAAACCATATAGACTCTTGTATTGAGTTAAATTTAACTGGAAATGATTGGAGCAGAGACAAGAAAGAAGAGGTGCACGATACATGCAGCTGTCTGACTCTGGTAAGGGAACCAGTCCTCATCCAGGTTCCCTCAGGTATTGTTCCAGTTCAACAATTGAAATTTTATGATATGGAACTGATCCTAGTTAGTGCAACTATCCGGTACCAGCTCATATAAGGTTTGATGAAATGAACTATGATTCAACTAAAATGGGTCTGATCATGCACAGCTTTGTTTCATTCACAGTTTTTTATTTGAATTTCCAGGCATTTCCAAGGGTTCAAACTTCAAAATTTCAAAACTGGAATTCTTTTAGCAGTTTTTAATTTATGGATAAATTTCATATGGTTATCTATGGTAATTTTAAACACAAGGGAGGTTTGGAGGTAACAACTTCTAACTTAGCATGGTCATTTCCCTATCTTAGAAGAATGTTAGCATGAATTCGTGTATAGGACTTCTTTTGCCTTTCTCCTGCTTTTGCAATATGAACATGACTGGAACTGGCCTCATTTACAATATACTGAATTGAGGCTAGAGATGGTTACAGAGCATTTGTTAGGTATGGAGGTTCAAATTTTTCTGCAGATTATAAGGGGGAAATTGGTTATCGTGTTTAGCAATGACTTAAACCTGAGAGAGTTTAATCATATTCCTCAAAGACAAATAAAATAATTTCCAACTCAATGGTGAGAGATTCTTTTTCATGAAAAAATACACTCATGAGAATTTCTTACCTGTGAATTTAATAAGAACTAAGAACGAAAGCAACATACACCATCTTATTCATTAAGGTTGAAGCTTTTGTATCTCAAAAGTTGTGTAGCTCTTGTTTCGACCAGTTGAACCACAACTATGAATTATAGACTTTCATGAAAGTATTTGTCAAGTACCTAGAAGCATACACCCACATTCCATACAACTTTTACTACCTTCACATTGTTCATGTTTTTTTTATATGTTCATACTTGCAAGTATATAGTGTAATAAAATATCTTGCAATTCTAAAGTTGCTCCATGTATTACAATTACATCGCTCAAACTCATCTGCAATAGGATGAGAAACAATATCATCACCTTTTCCCATATTACTATAATAGGATTAACACATTACACATAGATTCTGAGAAATTTTTACAAACAATTTTGCTTAACACTAGTGGGTAAGGTTCTAAGGAGCTCTTAATACAGACGAATCTGATCATACAAAACTTTAAAACAGAATAAAGTTCAACCAGCTAGCTAACCCATTAGTGCAGCATTACATAGATGAGTTAAATAATCATCCCCATACCTGGAAGTCCCAGGATCTTCTGTGCTGAGAGGAGCGTAAGATCGATTCGGATTAAGCAATGAAGTCGTGGATAATTCAATCACTGGACCGCGGCCGCTGGAGCTGGATTGCGACGATCCAGCAGGAACTCGCACGCTCTTCAATGCATCTCTGTACTTCTTGTACAGAATCGTCCTATTCCTCGTCGCCATTAATCGTCGCAGATAAAAATCCAATAAACTGACAATACTAGAGAGAATTTGAGTTCATTTCAGATCTGATTATTGCAATGCTAGCATCCTCGTGTTCTGGGGCTTGACACTCAAACTGCTTCGTACATAGGGATCTGATCGGCGATCGCCGGAGTGAGGACTTTCCGGTAATGTTGGTATCGGGTACCTGACTCCGGTGAAGAGGTAGGATGTAGGAATTAGGAACGAAGAAGGTATGCTTGTTGCTTCGCTCCTTCAAGTACGACACCGTTTTGGATCGTGCCACACAATCAGCACTTGGAATTTGGAAATACGGGTGAAGCTGAGGGGATTCAAAATTTATATCTCTATCACGTCAGCTTTAACTTACCTCAAAGATTCAGCTTTAACTTACCTCAAAGATTCAGTGGAAATGGATTTGAAGCTCCGGAGCTTCAAACAGGGGCTTTAAGCCTTAATTTTTTACATTTTTAAATATACATCTTCTAAATTTAAATTAATAAATTTAAATTAATTTATTATTTAAATTAATCGAAAGGAGACTAGTGCATTAAAAAAAATTATATTCATTAAAAAAATATTACATTCATAAAAACATACATTCAAAAAAAAATTACATTCATTAAAAAAATATTACATCCATAAAAAAACAACACTACAAAGAAATTACTAATTATTCGAGCGACTGAAGATATGTTCGATCAAATCCGTCGTTAGTGCATTGTGAATCTCCCGGCTTCAAATTTCTTGGCGGTTTCTCCGTTTCTTTTCTTCGTACATAGGCACCTCCTCGTTCGGGTTGTATTGACAAATCACAAACTCGTTGTCCTGTACGATCATATTATGAAGAATAATACATGTGTACATGATATTCCTCATTTTTGTTTGAGAAAAACATTTCAGCGGGCAATCTAGAATGTGCCATTTAGCCTTCAAGACCCCAAAGGCTCGTTCAATATCTTTCTCGCTGCCTCCTGAGCTTTTTTGTAGGTCTAGCGTTTAAGACCCATTGGTTCGGAGAGGAACTTGACAATCGTGGAATAATCTGGATATATTCCAACGGCCAAATAATATCCACGCTTGTAAAGCATCTTTCTAAGCTCAAAAGACGAGTCGAGTGCGGTCTCATTAATCCAATCGTCAAAAACGGGCGATTGATCGAGAACGTTGATGTCGTTGTTCAAGCTCGCGACACCAAAAAAGCGTGTCAAAACCACAAGTCATTTGAAGCAACAGCTTCGAGCATGATGGTAGGTTTGGGAATTGGGATGATCTCCCTGGGAGAATTGACCATGCCACGCAGTGGGACAATTTTTCCATTCCCAATGCGTGCAATCAATACTCCTAAGCATGTTGTTAAAGCCGTGTCTAGCGGCATGCATTGCCTGTTACTGCTGAATGTCGCTCGCTGTAGGCTTGCGTAAATATCTTTTATGATAAATTTGAATAATAGCTATTAGAAAATTTACGTAAATATTTTTTTGGGGGTTAACGGCTATTATAGCCGTTTTTGGCTGTTAGGGTAAGGGAAGAAAGCGTCAAAGGTTTACCGTTGAACCGATGACGCCGGCTTAAAGCCCTTGGGGGCGATGTTTAACGTCTCCGGGCGTTAAAAGGGGGATGACGCTGGTGGGCGTCACACCCATTACCAGTGCCCTTATACTTCCTATTTAAAACGAGTAATGGAGAGTCACCACCTACAATTTTGACAAGCTAAAACTTTGACATGTGATAATATGCTTATTTTGCAATTTTTATAACTCAATGGACTTTTGTTTCCTCCCTTTGCCTTTGATTTATTGTGTTTTTGTTGTACTAGTTGTTCTCTATGTTGCTTGAATAGTATCCCTTAAAAACAGTCTATATTTTTAGTGATTGCAACGTCTGCGGACACATACCTTCCCCTTGCATGATTTTATTGGTTGTTGTTGTACAACTCAGCAAATCATATTAGCATTCATTTGAGACTTTTTCAAATTGATGACTTAGCAATTTAATTACTACATGGAATTTTTTTAAATAAAATGAGTATAAGAAGTATATATGGCATGGCAATATGGAGTTATAGAGTAATTATTGAGTACTTCACGAAGAAGGGGATTTCCAATATGTAATTAAGATTTTGGTTTAAAGAAATTATTCCAAGAGATCTACTCAAATGTTCTAGCTTGTTGATTGATTTAAAACATTTTTTGAGTTTTAATATACAGAGCATCCAATCGATTTGCATTCAAAAAAATAATGGACTTTTTTGGAAAAGAATTGGATATCATTTCTTTTTTTGAGTGATTATAGAATTTTGATTTTTTGAGTCATTATAGCATTTTGAATAGGAAAATATTTTGAAGAGGAAAAATAAGGAGATTATCACAACTTAGTCCTTTATTTTTTTGTGTTGAAAACTAATTATAATCTATATTATTTGGAATATTTTTGCTCACAACTCGAAATAAATCTAATCAAAACATGATTGAGAAGAAAATTTATATTCAAAGATTTTACCAGCTAGAACTTCTTTCGTTTTAAAATAACGTATCATGCTCGCCCTTATATGTGACAAACTAGTATGTACTTCATTGGTCTTATGCTTGGTCCGTCCCAGAGTGTTTGTCTACTTTTGACTTTTGGAACTGTTCATCTAAGCACTTTGACTCATCAAATTCTCTCAATGTGTAAGCCTAAAAATAGTCATGTGTGATCTTGTTTGATTCGTCTTAACATATAGATAATTAATATATAATTTTTATAATTTTTTAATATACAAATTACAAGATAAAATGGATTAAAGAAGTGCATTGGATAGTGTGCAAAAATGAAAGTTGACAAACACTCAGGGACGGAGGGAGAAATAAATACTTCACTTTTCTTTTTTAATTGTAATAAAATAAAATTTTCATTCCTTGTAAAGAATGAAATAAGTGATCTACAATAATTCTCTCATATATCCATATATCTAGACTAAACAAATTTACATTCTCTTAATCCTTTATATATAATATTTGAGAGTTGAACTCTCAGAATTGCGACATTTGGCGCGATGACTGGAGTGTTTTTTGACACCTAATCAGCCATGTCATCAAGAGAATTAAATCGAACTTTCCTTCGACTAATTTATGATATAATAAAAGAAATTATGTAACTTAATAAAATTTTTGAAACATAAATATATTATTGCATAAAATAAAAATTATTAATGGAAAAAAGAAAAGTTTCTTTTTTAACTAACAAAATTTTCAGTAAAAGTTTTACCATAATATTTTGTTCGGACTCCAATTAAGCTTAAAAATTAGTCAATTGAATAAAAAGGATATTAAATCATTTTTATAGAAAACAAAAATAAATCAAAACAAACTAAAACAAATTAAAAGTGAGAACTTTTAACATTTAGTAATAAAATTTTAATCTAATTATTATTATAATAACTTTATTTAATATAAAAAAATACTCCGTAACGAATAAAATTTCACATATTTCTTCAAAAATTATATTGACTACTGAACTTAAAACGAATAAAATTTTCTTTTCATTTACAACGTAACTTATAATGGTAGATAAGATACACACTTCACCTATATATTTATTTCACATACATTTAATATAATATTTAAAAACTAGATCAAAATATTTTTTGGAAAGAAGAAAAAGTTGAACACAAATAGATGAACAGTTAATTTAAAATATATTTTTCAGTATAAATTTTAACTTAGTGCAGATTTAAAAAAGTAAATTTTTTTTAGGAAAAATGTACAATTTTAATAATGATTAGTTTATATTTAATATTATTCTCATACAAACAGAATATGTTTAAATTAGCCAAATATATAAATATAATGAACATAAAAAAATTAGGAAAAATATGCAATTTTTTATCTTTTCCTAAATATATAAAAATGAGACCCAGGTAATTAAGAACTGACATGTGGCTAACTCATGAGCCTCTTTTTAACACCTAATATGTCACATAGATTTTGACGTGGAAAATATGAAATTAAAAGTTTGGTAAATATTTCTGAATCTTTACATATTAAATTTGAGAGTTAATCTCCTAGAATTGCGAGAAGTGACGAATCTACATTGCAACATTTTAACAGATCACCGGCCACCTATTAACGATTGAATGACGTGACAATTTTAATCAAAATATGAGTAGATCCAATTTAAGTTGTATACGGAGTATATGTCTTATGTACAGTATTGCTATAATTTTTTGGAAAAATTACTCTGTACCAGAATAAGAATAAACATGGAGAAAATATTGTAATAAAAATACATTTTTTTCTCCAAAATAGGAGTCACCAAACATTAAGAGATTTCTTAGTTTCAAAAAGAAGATATTTGTAATGTATTTCTACCGAAAGACAAAGTTTGTTCTGTATATTGGTGTTTAAGTATACAAAATTGACAAGAAAAGTCAATTGAGAAGATCAAATCCAAACACAAAGGGAGTATTGTTAAAGAAATTAGAACAATACATGAAATTTTATGCAATTGAGTGAGAACTAAAATTCTTTTTTAAAAAAATTAAAACATCAACTTCTAAAATAATTAAAATAATAGTATAAATTTTTAAAATCAACTTCTAAAATAATAGTTACATTTTTCACATAAAAATTTAAAAAATTATCACATAAAAATAATCACATATATTTTACATACCAAAATTTTTTCACTTGATATGAATTTAGTTTCAAAGAGCAAAACAAATATAGTTACAAAAGTTTTCACAAAGAAAAATTACAAAAACATTTAAAAATAATCATAGGTATTTCACTTTTGACTTCATTGAAGTCACAACAAGCACTTTTTAAAAAAACACAAAAAATATTTGCATGGGATATATACAACAAAACAATATTTGCAAAAAAAGGGAATCACATATTTTTCATTTGAAATTTGAAATTTACTAGCTTAAACATGAGTGGCTAATAGAAGGACACAACACATTAAGATGCCCCTAAATGTACAATTGAGATAAAATTATAATTATTATAACGGAGACCTAAATTAGCAAAAGGCTAATCCAAAAGGGTCATTTTGAAAAATTACTCTTCATTTAAATGTTGAAAATACCTAAATTTCCTCCATTGAACATTCATT